ACAGAAAGGGCAACAAGTTGAGGCAATATAACATATAACAAAAGATTAATTAAACTATAATAAAAGAGCAGATATTAAAGTAAGGCAAAAGAGTCAAATGGAATAAAACAGTAAAAAAAAACAACCCCACACAAAACCACTGTATTTAGTGCCTGTTCAAAAGTAGACAATGAGTGGGCCAACCCTATTCCTTTGGAGGATGTTCCATAATCTGAACAACAAAATGGAAAAGCCCCTCTTCATAGTTCTCCTCAACTGAACCTCTGTTGTTCATGAGACCATAAGAAGGGGCCTCAGAAACCTGACTTATATTGCTGACAAGGAACAAAAATGTTGGTCTAGTACTGTACAAGTCTCCAGTTTAGAAATATTTTATCAGTTTCTCGAGAAATTCAGCACACGAATTCAGCACATTACTTGGAAATATTTCACTTGATTTCAGTCATATGTAAACTAATATTAAACACACATCTAGTATATTTTCTGCAATTTATTGGCTATCGACCTTGGAGAGTTAAATGCTTTACTGAGACACACATGGTCTTCCTTTCTTTCCCATCCGCCAAAATCATCTGGTGATGAGCATCTGCAGAATGAAACATTTTATATAATAAAATTTACAGAAAACATATCATTTGAAAAGGCATTCTTACTGAAAACTAAGTGACATAGGCCATATGCCAAACTTTCATAGCAGCCAGAAGTTTTTTATTTCTCCAGTTTTAGGAAAAAGATTCCTACATTGATATTAAAGCTAAAAAGAACCTACAGTGATTGAAGTGATATGTCTTAAAGCCCTTACTCTACATGGTAATCGTTATTCGCAAGTGTGTACTTGAAGAAAAGGCCTGTTCTTGCCTAGAAGTGAGTGTCATGGAACAGAAGGCCTTGCACTGACAATTATAGCTTATTCTTTCAAAAGATATAAACTGGAGTATTATGGAATATATCGTTGTAAACAATTAAAATCAATTTTCTGTGACTCCAGAGAAACAAAAGTAGCATATCCTCAGACATTTTATTTTTATTTTGGTGAGTCAGGTCTTCTGTTAGATCCACTAGTTCAAATGGGCCTACTCTAACAGCAACTTATTTTAGTATACCATATATACTCGAGTATAAGCCGACCCGAATACGAGGCACGGCACCCAATTTTACCACCCCAAAATGGGAAAACTTATTGACTCAAGTATAAGCCGAGGGTGGGAAATGCAGCAGCTACTGGTAAATTTCAAAAATAAAAATAGACACCAATAAAATTACATTAATTGAGGCATCAGTAGGTTAAATGTTTTTGAAGGTACTGCTCTTCTGAGCTGCGAGACACACTTCACTGCCTGCAGAGGGAGGACTCATACTGGATGCTGCGTTTATCTACTGTTGCTTAACAAGATGGAGGAGGAAGGTGGGAGGAGGAAGGTGGGTACATAGAATATGCAGAAGCAGGAGGATGGGAGCGTCCTGGAAGTGGAAATGCAGTGTACTTAACCCGGATAATCGGACCACCCACAGAAGCTGCAGGCGCCCGTAGATGAGTGGGAGAGTCCAGAGAACACCAGCACTGCAGGGGAGAACATGTAATTTTGACTCAAGGGGGTGCTTTTTCAGCAAAAAAGTGTTAAAAACTAGGCTTATACTTGAGTATATACAGTAGTAAGTCACCGTTAGAGTTGCCCAATTTGAATCAATAGAACTTACAGAGGACTTGGCTTATTAAATACCCATTGATCCGGTGGACCTACTCTAGAGTGATTCAATACACTAATCAACAGGAGTTTGGCCATTGTCTGTTATGTGAATTTTTTCTGTGGTTTGAATTTTGTAGACCTTTATTCAAAGGAACAAATATGCTCCTAGCTTTTAATTTGGTGGAAGGCAGGTAAATGAAGAGATGGATACAGCGAAAAGGTGAAATAGAGCCATCACAGCAAATCATGGCAGAGCACTTAAAATTGAGCAGTTGTCCCTGATATAGCAATTGCGGTTTTATAGATATGTCTCTGTTTTTGTCTGTGACTAATCTGATGGTAGTCCTTGTAGAGTTATTAATACCTGAAGTATACAGTGGTGCCTCGCTAGACGATGATAATCCATTCCACTGAAATCGCTGTTTAGCGAAATCATTGTCTAGCGAAAAGCATTTCCCCATTGGAATGCATTGAAACCTGTTTAATGCATTCCAATGGGGAAGAATCGTCGTTGTCTAGCGAATATCGGCCATAGGAAAGCTGCTTTGCGAACAGCCGATCAGCTGTTTAAATCGCTGTCTTGCGAAGCTTAGGTCCTGAAAACACCCATTTTGCGAGCATGGAGGGAGCTGTCAAAATAGGTGTTTAGCGAAAATTGGTTTGCGAAGCAGGGACCAGACATGGTCCAGCAAAATTCCCCTATAGGAATCACTGTTTTGCGAATCGCTATAGCGATCGCAAAAAGACGGTGTCTAGCGAAAAAACTGTCGTGTGGGGTAACTGTCTAGCGAGGCACCACTGTATGACTCAGCCCATGGAATTTCTGTGGGGCATGGCACTGCTTGTGTTTGCCATGCACAATAGTCTGGGTGATTTGTTAATTTGTAGATGGTGACTTGGCGCTATAGAGCCAGATGATCATCGTGATCTATTTTGCCCTCTTCTCTAAAACTGAAGTCCAGAACACAGTTGCCTAAACATAAATCCTGTTCAACTCATTGGGACTTGCCCCCTAATAAACATGTATCTGATTGGTCAGTAACTTGATTTTCTGCAAAACAGTTCTGTCTACTACCATTTCGTGCTTAGTTAGTGTTAGAATTTGCATTTCTTTTCTAGTGATATTCCTGTAATCTGATCTCCAGAGAATTAAGCCATCTGCATGCACATAGTACCTTTTAAAACTGATTTTAACTGTGTGAAAGTCCTCTGGGTATCTCAAATGTAATTACTTTTCAACTAATCACTCAGAGATTTAGGCATGACATTAATAATTGACAGGACTCTTGACATTTTATGTGGCAAACTACATAATGCAAGTGGCCCACTGCAAGTCGGGAAAGAGCCTTCCAGCTTTGTGTATGTTTGTGTGTGCATGCGGCCAAGGAGAGGATATCTTACAGTGAGCAAGCACCTCTATCTCTACTCCAGTTCAAACTACAGAGGAATTATGGAAAAAGGGCTGTAATTCAGTGGAGGAGCACATGCTTTGATTGAAGAAGGCACAACATTCAATTACTGGCACTATTTTTTTTCCTTATGTGATGTGGCATGTGTGTGCTTTGATTGATTTTCTAAACATTGTTGTTTGGTTAATTAACTGTGTATTTATTCGGTTAAAGCTGTATTTTTTGGTGTGGGTTGGGTTGGAGACTGGTAGATACGTATGTTGTTGTTGGCTGTACTGCGTTGTTTGGTTAATTAACTGTGTATTTATTTGGTTAAAGCTGTATATTTTGGTGGGGGTTGGGTTGGAGACTGGTAGATATGTATGTTGTTGTTGGCTGTACTGCTGTCTGCTTTTGGAATAGATTGACTCTCTGTTGCCTTGCCTTTACTTGTTTTGAAGGACTGTCTACGAGTTCTTTAGGGCTTTTTTGACTAGTGCCAGAAACATGACTAGTGGAGAAAAATGAAATGAAATAACCTGGAAGAAGCTTCAGTGCATGAAGAACATGAAAAAAGGGCCCCCAAAAGTTTTCGCCATGCCTATATCTAATCAGGATTTCAGCCATCATTTAAGGGCATTGATTACCCCCTTTCCTTAAAAATGCTGGTGCACTGCAGATTGAAAGATGTGTGAGAAACATAAAGATTGCGACGGCAGTAGCAAAAAGCCTTTATAGAGGGCAATACATTATTATATTAAAATATATTTAATTTTTCTATTAAAGTAAATACGGTTGTAGTACGCATAGCAAGTGAGTTCTGGCTGAAAAAGCAAAAAGAAATGAAATAGGATGCCATGCTGAATACTTTTATAAAGACATGTACATTTCTCAACTTTCCTGCAGCCTGTTCTTTTTGGGTAATATGACAGAGAAATGGATATCCGGGGCACAGTTCAAATGTTCTCTTTTTTTCTGTGTAGTCTTTAGATTTGTGTTAGGTTGCAGTAGTCAAAGGAGCATGATGCAGAACGATTGTATAGAATCAATGAAACAGAATGAGTACGCCCAGGTACATCACATCAGCAAATACCTAATGGTAATACCTACTAAGAGCAATAAAAAAACTGGACCACTCCTTGTTCAGAATCTTATCAGTGGATATGGGAAGAATTGTTTAATGTTTTAAAAGGGAGATATGAAGATGCATAGTTTTGTGGACTGTCATAGAAGGAAGCACAGTCTCTTAATATTTTTTCTACATAGCAGGCTACAGTTCCTTACTGGTCAGGAAAAGGCACCTTGGATACTTTGTATATTTGTCATACTAGGTACAAACAAGTACTGTACCGAGGTTACTAATATAAATCTAAATACAGTATGTGCCAAAAACTGTACAGTATATGATAATAATAAACCAATATTCTAGTCTCAGGGTATTTTCCAGTTTGTAAAAACTGAATTGTTTGCAGCTCAGACATTTGTAGACCCAGTATGGATTTCCATATGACTCATTGGTGATAGCCCTCAATTAATTGCCCAATATTTTAATCACGTACAGTATAAATCTTTTAATCACGTACAATGTCCGTCAATCCTCTCAGAAAACTACATTGCATTACAATATTTTACAGTAAAAGACGTATCTACTCTGCTGCTAGTATAGATTAAATATACCAAGGTAATACATGCTCATGGACTGACATCTTATTTACACGGAATATCTGGAACATGGAAACCCAGGCAACATCCTTTAAATGTATTCCCTTTTTGTCCCATTTGTGACAATGATTCAGGCATGCATAGAGAACTAATTCATGTTTGAACATTTAATGTGAAGCAGAAAGCAAGCATTGTAACATTTGACCTTATGACGGGTCAAAGGTTACACTTTCTCAAAAATGGTTTTGCAAATCTTTTTCAGAGCTGATAGATACACACCTTAGCTGGATACAAAACATTATATGAAACAGAATGCCTGTGCTTTTTTGATCCAAGCAATCAAAGTCCAAGGTAATTGATATTTTCCTGACTTTTGTCTAGCTGCAGTTTTTCTTATTCTTCCTTTAATTTAGTTGGGTTTCTTCTGTAAATTTAACTTTGGGTCTTGCACATTTTAATTACAGAAACCTCTGCTATTTGATGGGTAGGGAAGATCCATGTGGAAGGATGGGAGGTTTGCATGCTGTTTACAATCACTAAAATGTGTCAACAGTAAAATCATTAGGATCTGGATATGCCTGGTACTGCAGACATATGTGCCTGTTCTCTGCTCCCGACACCCATCCCACTTCCACATTCCCTTCTTCCCACCCACCCTAACTCTAAAATCTCATTGCCATTCTGCCTATTGTCACTTTTGAGTTCTTTAATGTGTAGATTGCAACCATTTGTATGCAGACATCCAGCTGATTTCTGTGGGTATCCTCTGATTTCTGTGGATATCCACTGATTCTGCAAGGCCTCTTTTCTGCCATTCTTCAGCATAGTTCTGCAAAAAGAATGTTGCCTAGGAAGCAGACTCACTTTATATTCTTATTCCAGGGACCAAAGGGATGATCCAGATGCTGCCTTATTAGTCCATCATTTTCCAAAGTGTATGCCATTGTATTATTTCCAGTGTTACACAGACTTGAGTGACAGCCCTTCTCGTGTAATCCTGTGTGTTGTGGGAATCACTGTGCAGTACCTAACTCATATTACTGTGTGGGTCCATGCTGGTATTGAAAGGTGGACTCTACTTTATGAGTTGGGGGGGGGGATGCCAACAATGACAAAGCGTGAAAGGAGGTAAACAGAGGCTGCAGTCACACTGGCAAGAGGAATCGCATTTAAGTGTCATTTAAATCAATTTAGATTTTACCATTCACACAACACAAAGGTGAAATCATTTTATATGTGCTGCAATTTATATGTGCTTTCCCATCTCTGTCTTAACTCTCTCAATTCAATGTCCTAACTCTCTCACTTCCATTCCCTATCTCTCCCTTTCTCTCTAACTGTCTAACTGTCCCTCTAACTCCGCCCCTCCTGTCCTATCATAGGCTCCTGCACCACAACACAAAGGTGAAATCAATTTATATGTCCTGCAATTTATATGTCCTTTCCCATCTCTGTCTTAACTCTCTCAATTCAATGTCCTAACTCTCTCACTTCCATTCCCTATCTCTCCCTTTCTCTCTAACTGTCTAACTGTCCCTCTAACTCCGCCCCTCCTGTCCTATCATAGGCTCCTGCACTTGAGCTTCATATGATAGACACAGGGGCTTTTTTAATACAGTACTTCACTCCTAAAATTGACTTTCAATGCAATTTTGTGGAAATGAGCCAATTTCAGCAGTGTAGGCACCAAAACCAGTTTACATCACCAGAAACTAAATTGATTTCCATTCAGTGCATGTGAATGCAGCCGCCAGTTTAAATGTCACATGACTTGAATCTGATTTTTGAAGAAGTCTGAACAGAAATTGTTTCAAACTGCCAGTGTGATCACAGCCAGCATTTGCATTATAAAGCAGAAGGTATTTTGGGGGTGGGCTTTTAATTCTGACCTTCAAGCTCACTTTTAGCTACATTTGATTTCCCACAACCTTTCAAAGCAGCATTTAACAGAGTTGTTACAGAAGGTGGAGAGACCTCCCACCTTCTGGGTCCCCTGTAATGCAGGAACAGAAGGTTTGCTTCCCCGCATCTTCACACACCTTTTGATGCACAAATTAGACACCCTGGCCTCACTTTACATATGAGCAAAGTAGAAACAAGAATAAACCACATACAGTGGTGCCTCGACTTACAAACGTCCTGACATATGACCATTTTGAGTTACGACCAGCTCCGGCCACAAAATGTTGCTTCTACTTGCAACTGGAGCTTCGAGTTACAACCAGGAAAAGGCAGGGGGAAAAGGTGGGGAATTCAAATTGCTAACCATTGGTGTCAAAGAGGCTGCTTCTTTGTAACTCTTTCGCCCCAGCAGTTAGAGAGTGTGCGATTGGAGGTGGCTTCGGATTGCCTGGTAAGGTGCTGCTTTCTACTTTTTAAAAACTGTTCTGGGTGGGTTTTGCAGCGTGGTTTTGTGCTTGGTGTTGGGAATATGTTTCTATGCTGTGATGGGTCTTGCAGGGTTTGTTTGCTTTTTGGAGTTTTTTTCCCATTTCCAATGGGTCTTGCAGGGTTTCTTTGTTTTTTGATATTTCCCCCAATTTCCGATCAGTCTTGCAGGGTTAGTTTGTTTTGGGGTTTTTTCCCCCCATTTCTGATGGGTCTTTTTCAGAATTTCCGATGGGTCTTGCAGGGTTTGTTTGCTTTTTGCTTTGCTTTTTTTGCATTTCCGAAGGGTCTTGCATGGTTTGTTTGCTTTTGATTGGGGTTTTTTTGTATTTCTGAAGGGTCTTGCATGGTTTGTTTGCTTTTGATTGGTTTTTTTGTATTTCTGAAGAGTCTTGCATGGTTTGTTTGCTTTCTGCTTTGCTTTTTTTGCATTTCCGAAGGGTCTTGCACAGTTTGTTTGCTTTTCTTGTTTTTTTCCCCTTTGGCTAGAATGGATTAATTGTGTTTCCGATGAGTCTTGCAGTGCTTTTTTTTGGAGGGGGTTTGTTTTGTTTTGGTGATTAATTGTGTTTCCGATGAGTCTTGCAGTGGTTTTTTTGGGGGGGAGGGGTTGTTTTGTTTTGGTGATTTTTTTTTCCCTTTGGACGGAACAGATTAATTGCATTTCAGTGCATTCCTATGGGAAATGGTGCTTCAACTTACGACCATTTCGAGTTACGACCGGAGTTCTGGAACCAATTAAGTTCATAAGTCGAGGCACCAATGTCTTTGCCTCTGTTACATCTGAATTCTCCTCAGTCAACCTTTTTTAAAGGAAAAATTGTTTGAGCTAACCATAATTTGCTTCAGTAGGCCTGATACATGAAATCAGGGTTAAAAATGGGGGGGGGGGAGCAGGACAAGTGTAAATTTTCCAAATCATCTTAAGGCCACTTTTTAAATGTTTTTAACCAGGTTTGGTATACAGAGGAAGAAGCCAAGAGGTGTGTTTGACTTGTGTAGTACTTTGCCTTTCAATAAATTTCAGCTGTTGGTGTGTTGCCTTCATGGCTGTGACCTTGCTACAGGTTTCAAGTTGATCACCGTGGGAAATGGGTCAGTGGATTAAATAGTCTTCTCTGGCATATCTCTTTCTATAAGCTAATGTTCAATCTAAACCCTATAATTAACTAAGAAGAGGAATTTATTAACAAAGGGTTGACTGGATGGCTCAATTGGCATGAGCTGCAGCAGGTGAAATACAGTCGCTTAAAGTCAAATAGAAATCTGAAGTGTGTTCATTGCATCCAAGTGTCATATGCACATCAAACAATCATGTTTGGCCTACCAAATATGATTGCTTGAGTGTAATTGTAAGGGGGTGCCATTAAGAAAAGAAAGACAACAACAAAAATCATCCTCCCTATCCCTTGCTATCTTCTTTTTCTCAGAGGAAGCTTTCATCTCCCACTCTAAAAGGCACAGCATATCTGCACTGCCCTAATTGGCTTTTGGAAAAGATACAGTATTTGCTTTCTCCTGTTAGAGGAGCAGAGGAAGTTTTTAATTTCCCTATGTCGTTTAGTGGCTAAGCTGAACGATAACAGGGAATTGAAACTGGATGAGAAATTGAAAGCAGGAACCTCCACTTTGATTTGATCCCAGTAATTGCATGTGCTAGAACGTATCCAAGCAGAGTGATCTACCCTGCTTAAGAAAGTTTAGTCGCTGACATCTTGTCACTGGCAAAAGGAGTAAACCTGCTCATCCCCACAGTGGAACCAACAGTGAGACAAATGCCTCTGTAGTCACCCCAAACTCTGCAGGGTTGGTTAGTCCTAATTCAGAAAGGTTTTCTTTGTTATGAATCTGTGAGTATGCAATGTATTCTGGAGGTTGTAGGACAGAATCCCCAGCTCAAACCACATCTACTGTTCCACTGGAAAGATACTGAAAATGGATGGTGCTACATCTTGGCAGTTATGGTCAAGCTGCTAGTTTGGCACCTGCTGAATCAACTATGTAAGAGCTTAAAAGGTTTACATGGATTAATTCTTGCTATATGCACAACACAATACTTATACTTAATGTATAAGTATATCGTGCATACATTTAGACATTAGAATGCAGGCTGTTCTTGGGTTCATCCCCTGTTTTCAAAATCTGTTGCCCACAACAGTGTAATCCTGTGTACACAGCACTCTCCTTTATCTCAACCTCTGATTATCTTAATCTTTTGGATGTCATCCCAGCTATTTGGCTAAATGAGGGCACATTTTTATTACATATTTACAAAAATCAAAGCACAGTATTCAAGCCTCAGGAATTTTGGACTCTTTGCTACCCTCTCCCCCTTCCCTTCTCTATTGCAAAGATAGAATGAGTCATAGTAAGCTCTAGATATCTGCTGTGCAATCATCAAAAGTGTATAAAAATATGAGTGGATTGGAAAAAGTGAATATGGAACATTTGTTTACCCTTTCCTTTGATACCAAGAGTTGGGGAGCAGGGTGCTATGACATTAACATACCGCAATTTTTAAAAAAAAAACAATCTTCTTCACCCACACACACAAACACACAGAGAACACATTGTTGATTTGCATTGAAATTAGATCAGAAAGAGAACAGACAAAGATAGCACTATTGATGATTCATTCAAGGTGTGTATGTAAGCTTTACTACTCAGCACACTGAGATACAGCGGAAATTGGAAGGAAATGCTATGTTTAGGTCTATCATCATAATTAAAAACTTTTCTTAATTAAACATTTGCCCCTTTCACCAGTTTTATCAATTCATTAACAACATCTATATATCACTAAAAAGCCCAACAAAGATCTTTATTTGAAACATTGAAAGAAAAGCTATAGTTCAATAGACAAAACATCTTACTCATTGACCATACTAAATATCTAATATATATTATTTATATATATTTTTCTTCCACCATTCCTACAACTGGAAATGAATAGTACCCTTAAA